ATTGTCTTGAAGTTGTTTTATACTGTGAGATTTCAGAGCTAATTGATATCTTAGGGTGGAAGTAACTTGAAGACAATTCAATATATGAATCTATATACACATTTGATGTCGAATATTGGTTGCATCCGATGCAAAGACCATGCATTTCCCTTTGGTTGATTCATTTTTCTAAGTTCTCCTGGAGGTGTATTTTAAAGGTTTGACGTCGAATATTGGTTGCATCCGATGCAAAGAACATGCATATCCCTTTGAATGATTCATTTTTTTAAGTTCTTCAGGAGTTGTATTTTAAAGTTGGACGTCGAATTTCCTACCTGGTTGACGTCCTACATCATATAGGATTTCTATAAGAAATCCATTTTTACAAGACATAGCATAAAAAATGAAAACAAAATAAGAGCAAATACATTCAACGAAACACGGGGAAAAAATCAACACAACATCAAAATATTAAATGGAGAACGTTTGCTAAATTCATAAGTGTGAACATTTTTTGTTGGTTTTCCATAATACCATCATTGTTAACAAAGAAATGTCTTTGTTTCGTGAAGGACTGATGGAAAACCAAAAGAAAAAGTTAACATGAATTTGGTGAATGAATGTGTAGAGTTTTCAAAGGGTGCGAAATACAAATCTATTAAATTTTTTCTGTGGATTTCTATCATTCCTTCAAGCTTTTAACAATGACGAAGAATCAACCACAAAGAAGTGTTCACTTTTGTGACCTTGAAGGAACTAATAAAAACCTAAAGAAAAAAGTTAACAGAGGGAGTGGTTACAAGAAATTTTATAAATGGAGGTGTAGAGGTTATCCAAGGATCCAAAATTGTATTTAAAGAAAATGGAGGTGTTCCTTGACGTCGAATGTTGTTTGTATTCGATGTGAACTATGCATGGGGAAGGGTAGTGATGAGTCTCAGTGGATGCTGTTGTTACCAATGTGGACGACAACGTCGTATTTTGTAGGTGTTCGACGTCCATCATAATAAAGACATTTTCTTTGGGAATGCAAACGACTGTTTATTACTAATAAAGCATTCGTGTTTGACAACGAACTTGGGTTTTGTACGACGTGATCTATACATGGGGAAGGTCAATGATGAGTCTTAATGGATGTTGTTGTTACCAATAAGGAGGGTAATGTTGTATTTTGTAGGAGTTCGACGTCCATTTTGTAAAGACATTGGTGTTTGACGTCAAACTTAGGTTTTGTACAACGTGATCTATGCATGGGGAAGGGCAATGACGAGTCATAGTGGATGTTGTTGTTACCAATGAGGAGGGTAACATCGCATTTTGTAGGAGTTCGATGTCCATTTTGTAAAGACATTTTCTTTGGGGATGCAAATGACTATTTATTATTTATTTATTTTGGATTATACGTCTGGTGTATCCTAAGGTGACGTTATATGGTTACTAAGGACATTGTTTAACGTGTGACTTGTGCATGGTTGGATGTCATTGCTTTTTAGACTACAATTTGTATTCTGAAACGACGTTGAGCGATTGAATTTGTTTACAACAATGTCATCTGCAATTTTTAACGTTGGTTGTTCTATTATTGGACATTTAACACATGACGTTATATGTGGTTTTTGTACTAGTGTTGGAAGCGAAAAAGGCAGAGAACAATGGAGAACGGTGACTCTACTTGCGTTTTGGAATGCACCAAAAGCCCACCACAAAAAAAAAAATACATGGACACAAATACAAAAAACCTTATTAGTCTCAGGAACCGAAAGCAAGTAAAGAATGCCCAAAGAAAAGATAAAAAAACGAAGGAACGAAGGCTTACCGCGGAGAAACTCGAACGAATGAATGAAAGATCACTAAGAAAGAGTTCAAACAATGTTAATGGAGGCAATGGCGATGGCATTAAAGGCAATGACCACGACGTTCGAAGTTAATGGAGCAGTATTAGGATAAATGAGGGTTCGAGAGCAATGAAGATACATGAAAAAACTATAAAGAGTTATGTTAATTTGCACTTTTTTTACCACTACAAAGACATGTTGTCTCGGTTATTTTAATAACTGAAGCAATATGTACTCTATGACCTCGGTTCTACTAAGAACTGATGCCAAATAGTACTGCAAAATATTTAAAAATTAAAAGTTTTAGAGTTATTTCTATCTTTTGGCTCAAATCTTTGGCCTTGGTTCTTTGTAAAACCGAAGCAAAATGGGTCTATAACATCGATTCTCTGAACAACCGAGGCCATAGATATCTTCATAATTTGAACAGTTTGATTAAGTTCCTTCTGTTGGGTGTAAAGTTAAGAACTTATGACAACGGTTCTATAAAGAACTGATGCATTGACCTATTTAGAATCTAAAAAGCTGACACATCTCTCTATAGGGGAATTGTTAAGACTCTAACATCTGTTTTGAGAGTAATTGATATCATTGATCCTTATTAGTGTGTACTGAAGTGAAAAGTTTAAATTTATATATATGTAATCTATCTTTAGGCTTTAGTTGTTTATTAACCAATGTAAAAAAAATATATAACTTGAGTATTTTCTAACTGAAGCATATAAGTTTATAAAATTAAAAAATATTATCACGTCTTTTATGTTTCGTTTTCATCAAAATCGAAGGCTACAGCTGCGTTAAAAATCCATTTTTATACTAGTGTAGCCTTCGTTTTTCATTCCTACAAAAAATATTTTTCTTTTTTAATTTCGTTATAAACTTCGTTGTGCTTCCCATCCGTACTATAATGATGAAATAAGTTTAAAGGACAGTTGGAAGTAACTTAAAAAATACATATAACAAAAATATTTAAAAGCGAAAAATTTATCTTAAAAAAATCTTAGTTTGATCCAAAGTATTTTCTTATCATATTAAAATGACTTTGATTCAGTTACACTTTGAGAGATGCTTATCACCAACACAATCTGATGTGCGATGCAAAAGTATAATTGAAAAAAGATGGAAACTTTATTTGAAAATCTTGATTTAAAAGAGAAGTTATTTAACTCTTGCAGTCTCCATAAAATCATTATTTTCCACGTTTAACCTACTTTGATTATGGTCTATCCAGAAATACGTTGAACCACACAAAATAGATAAATGAAGCTATTTACTCAAACTCTAACATATCTTGTGCTGGTCCCTGTCTGTCTTCAAATAGACGTTTCCCACGTTGTATGAAAATAAGCCTTTCAGACACTCCCAAAAAATGAAGTTTACGACCTTGTCCTTTCTACTTTGTGCCTTCACCTCGTACATTTAAACATGTCAAATTCCGTATGATATTGGGACCACATCTTCTTCTCTCCTTTGGATAGTTCATGCGTTTGATGCTGAAAAAACCTCATTTTTTTTATGACGCATACCTTCTGTAACTGCGTCGGCACAAACCACCACTGCCCTTTCTCCTAGGGAGTGAGATGCATTATCTAAGCACTAGATATATGCGTATTTCGTTGAAATAAATTATCGCATTTCACTAAAAATAATAGGGGAAATAACAATTAATTGACTCCTTAAAATAAATAGTCCGTTGATTTTAATAACATGTATTGTAATTATATATATATATATATATATATATATATATATATATATATATATATATATATATATATATATATATATATATATATATATATATATATATCAATAAATGATATTGTATTTAAAAATTAATTAAAATTTTGTATCTTAACCCGCTTATAAGGGGTCTAGAAGTTGTGGATTTTATTTTTGCCCCTAGTTGATGAGTTTCCTAAAAATGTGTTTTTTCTAGAATGGATTAGGACTGTCCATTGATCAAGGTGACAACTCTACTAATAACACAATTAGCTTGAATCTCCTCCGCCGATCTTGTAAGGATACTAAGTTTCTATTAAACCCTCTCTCCAAGATTTCTTCAAGTTTTCAACAATATGATCAAAATTATCAATGCAATGTAGTTCTTGAAGGGAAATGAGTAGAGCTCAATGACATTTTGTGATCATTTTGCATTACTAAATATTTTTTGAATAAATATAAAAAAGTTAAAGGAAAAAAAGTTATAAATATTTTAAAAATTAATTAAAAAAAACAACATACCATTAGTATAAAAAAGTACACATTTTTTAAAAACTTAGATCAAATTTTTATAATTTAGTACATGGGTTTGATATGGTTCTCATTATTTTTTGTTTTCTTAATAATATTTTTTATTCATTTATGTAATGTTAAGGTACTCATACTTAGCATGTTTAAAAAAAACTATAACTTATTAGACATTGATAAGAAAAATGTTGGATAGGATAAGAGTGCTCGCAATGTGGTTTGAGTTGATTTTTAGTTAGAAGTACATCTAAACCAAACATAAAAATTACATCAGACTTAATTTGAACACTTAAAAAGTTTTATTTTAAACATAAACATCAAAGTTAGGTCTTCTATTTTGTTTTCTTTCAATAATATTTTATTTGTTTTGGCATTTTTTTCTCTTTCAATACTAACATTCACACCATTAGAATAACTCTTCTTCCCCCTTATCCATATGTTAAACATATTATTCCTGTATTATATATTTTTTGCCATAAATCAATAAAGGTATATTAGATTTTTCTCTTCTATACACATCTATAACTGACATAATAGATAGTATAATAATATTTAAATAATTATTTTCGGTTCAATTCAATTTGGTTTTAATCGGTTCCAAAATTTCAAATTTGTAAACTGATTCAAATGGCTCAGTTCCCAAAAAAAAAATTCAAAATCGATCCAAAAATTTCCGGTTTAATCAGTTTTCGGAAATCAGATTTTTTGTTTCGTGGATCAGTCTAGTTCTGTACACCCCTCATACTGGAAATTTAAAAACCTATTTAAATCTAAAATTACATCAAAATTATGCACATGATGCAAGATTAACACTAGACAATCACTTGTCATTATTGAGACTTTAGGTAAAAGAAGACCTAATTTAATCAGGAGAAAGGGTAAGATGCTCACCTTTTTACGGGGAATTCAATTAGGAATCGAATCAGCATATTAATCCAATGAGTGCAGCAGCAACCGAGTCGTTATTATTAGAGCATATAAAATTCTCAAGGGTAACATAAATCATCCAAACATATCCTCAGTAACTTCCAAAAAAGGATCCTATCTACTTTATAATACATGAATTTATCATTGTGATCAATGTCGTATACAGGGGCAATGCCAAAGAAAACAAATAGCAGAACAAAGAATATTGAGTATCACAAGGAAAAAGGTTTTCTATAAACATCAAATGATTCGCAAGCCGTTAACTGAGGTTCCTGTCGAAACAAAACGCAACAAGGAAAAACAACAGAAGTAAGTTTAACATAAGGAAACTCGGTGAGCACAAACACAAATATAAAAAGGGAACTCTTATAGGTGGTATACAAGTAATGAGTTCAGAACTTCATATCATCCAGCAACTGATAGAAAGGGAACAGTTAAAACATGGTTTGTGATACGATCAAACAACTGTCAAGTAAACTATATTTACCTGTCTCAGTCCACCAGCACTTAGACTACCTCCGGTCACAAGCATTGTGAGAAGAGATGTCACCATATCTCCACCCCCACCGCCACTGCCAGCATCTCTGATGGCAGTGCGCATTGCAGTGAGAATGCTGCCATAGGTAGCCCCATGACCTCGCTCTATTGCTTGGATGAAGCAAAATGTCATTGCCCCAGTCGATGTAATCTTTGATAGAGCCTGTTTATAAATATAGTGATCATATGTTCGGACAACGGATCTCATTAGTCTAGATTGAAACACGGTCAGAGATAAATCAATTTGAATTTGCTGAAACTTACAGATGTATCAGCGGAAGTTTGATCATCATCGCATCCACTGAAGCAAATAACTTCCCCACCATTAGATCCTTTCCATACACCAGACCTAGGACGATGGTCCTCCCATGCATATTGTCCATTCCTGTTACAAAGATAGAAGAATCAGTGGACCGTAAGGAAATATGATGAGTCAACAACGACAGCTGTTAGTAAGTTAGTCCATTAGACAATTAGCTTTACTCACTAGTTTGTTAGTAACCTTAGAAGATATTTCTATAAATGGGGAAAGAAGATTCGAGAGAGACAAACTGTAAATTTGATGGATTTTGTAAATTGAAGGGATTCATGAAGTAGAAACCCCTGAGAATTCTATTCTCTATTTTCGGTTATATTCCTTTGGTTCTTTCTCGCCAGCTTCCATCTCTTTTCTCTATATATGTACAATCTAGGCAAAAAATAAAGTGAAAACTGAATGTATAAAAACATAGGAAGGAACGGAAGAAAAAGCAAAACACATCTTAGTTTTCTTCTTGTAAATGCTTTTCCCATTGAACTCTATTTATGAAGGAATAAATGTAAGTAAGCAAAGTAAATTTAAATAATGCAATAAATTGGTTTTATCCTACACATGCAGTACGCCACATACAGGCTTCAGTTTTTACTCAATAAGTGACGCTCCAACTTTCCCAGGCATACAATATTTCCTACACGTATGCTATTAATTCTCATACTACTCGGTATTAAATAAAAAGTGCATATATTTATATTATATCCCTTTTCCTTTTCATGAAGCGTCAATGCAAAGTTAAAATTTCATTAAACATCACAATGCTAAAGTCAACCAAGCCAAATATAATAAAGATAAACCATGCAGAAACAACAGACTGTTTTATAAGGTAACCTCTTCATTCTGCAAAGAAAAGGCAAATCTAGAACAGTGCCACTGTGGCAGGCATCAATTAGTGCATGTAGCTTAGCTCCGCGAGGAATGGGTCTAACAAGGGCTGCATTGATCTCATCATCTACAATCATACCCTGCGTTTCAAAATCCAGGGGACATAGAGTTTCATCATATCCATCAGCTTCATCACCACTATAGTTCCTTTGCTGTGAACCATGACCAGAATAATGGAAAACCAGAGAGTCTCCAGGTTGAGATCCTTGTGCAAGCCAATACATTGCCATCCTAATGTTGTGCTTGGATGGAAATTTAGGGCCATGGGGATCTTCTTCTTCTGCATTTTAAAATTCAAATGCTTTATGAATTTCTTTTTTTTGAAAAAGAAAATATAGGATAATCAACTCTTCCAAATTTGTAGATTAAATCATAACCACATATTGCATGTCAAATTTTAAAATCAGATTTAGCTCATACAAACTGTTGACAGGATTTGACCCCACACATTGCATGAAACTCAAATAGCTATGATATTCAGAGATCTAGAGAAAGAGAAATTCCACATCAAGGTAGAGCCTTCTAGATCGTATTAGACCCTCTAGAGGTGTTAGACAATGAAGCATTAGAGGATGTAAGCCAACCTTCTACCTTTCACTAAAGAAGGCCAAAATATGGAGAAGTTGACATCGAATATCACATTACGCGTGATAGGGAGAGAAGGACGACCAAACCAACACAGAAGTTTGGATATGCTGACTTTATCATTTATGCTTCGATAGCAGCTAAAGATATATATTGTTCAGAGCCTAAAAGCTTCCACAAGGCCCCACAATGGAGGAAATTGAATCTCTGGAAGAACCACAAAAGGTTTCAAAAAATCTAGAATGGCCAAAGTTGATAATCGTGATAGGCGTCTTTAAGAATACAAAAGCCCTATGAGCTTCCATATTCCATTGAAACCAATCCTTCTTCAATAACTGTCAATGGTTTTGCAATTTTTCCATAATCTTGCACAAACTGCCTATAATAACCCATAAGGCTGAAAAATCCACGTAAAGCAGTGGCATCTTTTGGGATTGGCCACTTCCACATTGCTTCTATCTTCTCAGGGTCAACAGATACCCCTGCACCTGAAATCACATGGCCCAAATACTCAATGCTAGCTTGGCCTAAACTACACTTTTCTCTAATGACTTGCAAGTGATGCTCACGCAGTTACTGTAAAACTTGGGATAAATGTTGGAGATGCATATCCAATGAAGGGCTACAGATTAACATGTCATCAAAGAACACTAGAAAGAATTTCTTGAGAAAAGGTTTTAGAACCTCGTTCATTAAAAACTGAAAAGTAGCTAAAGCATTAGTCAGCCCAAAAGCATGACAAGGAACTCATAGTGGCCTTCATGAGTCCTAAAAGTTGTCTTCTCAATGTCTCCGTCCATCATTCGAATCTGGTGGTAGCTAGATTTAAGATCCAGTTAAGAAAAAATGGTTGTTCTAGCTAATTCATCCAACAACTCCTCAATTACTGGAATTGGAAATTTATTGGGGATTGTCAACTTGTTAAGAGCCTTATAATCTACACAAAATCTTGACCCACCATCCTTTTTTCTCACAAAATTATAGAACTAGGATGAAGGTTGATGCTTGGGCGAATGATGGCCTTCAACATCTCACTAATTAGCTTTTCTTTTTCATTCTTCTGTTGGTGAGTATATTTGTAAGGCCTCAAATTAGGAATGGAAGCTCCTTCCCAAAGATGAATAGCATGATCTTGCTGCCTCTTTAGGGGTATTACTTCTAAACTTTGAAAATTCCTTGTATGAATTTAATAGTTTATCTACTTTTATTGGCACGGTAGTTGACCCCTCTGTGTATCCCCATTAACTGCCTCCACCAAATACCATGTATCTCCTTTTTGCAATTCAGTGATCAATCCCTTGAAGGAAGTGGTTGTGGTAGACAAAGTTGGGCCTCCTAACACAGTGACTTGATTACCCTCTCCACCAACAGCGAGCTGTAACTTTCCAAAATTTGCCTTTACTTCACCAAAACTAGATAACCGTTCTAGGCCAAGAACAATATTTGCCCCTCCAATATCAAAGATAAAGAAATCTTGACAAATCCTCAAACCTTGAATTTCCAACATCAATTTTGTGCATTTTCCTTGGAATTTCAGTTTTCCACCATACTTCCACCACATATGTAGGAGTATCAACATATGCCAGCCCACATCTTCCCATCAATTCTTTGGAAATAAAATTATGGGAAGCCCCACAATCTATCATCACAATCACTTGTTCTTTACCAATGTGTCCTCAAACCTTCCATGATTTCTTGGTGGTTAAGCCAACCATAGTAAACATGGACAGCTGCATCGTTTTCGCCTCTTCCACCTCAATCTCTATGTTTGTCTCTTCTTCCATTTGCTATTGCTATACTTTTGTAATTAAAAGCATATGAAATTACTTGTTCCGACAAATATGATTAGGACTATACTTCTCATCACATCTGAAGCATAATCCTTTTTTGATTTTGTCCTACATCTTATCTGTCAGGCGCTTAAAAGATGATCCCCTACTGTGGTTTGAACCTTGGTTGCGTCCCACTAAATTGTTTATTCCTCCTACTTCTTTTCCTTTTCTCATAGCAGCCATTTGAGAATTTCCATCTCTTGCAAAACAACAAGTCATGTAATTGGATTTGGATGTTGTCACAGCCTTATTTTCTGCTAAACCTTTTCCTTTGGACAAAATTTTAGTTTCATCTTCAACCATTTGAGTTGTCATCATCAATTCATCCAAATTGGAAGGTTTATACAACTTGACATTGTTAGAATTATTGGTTATTGTGTTTAAGTTGTGTTTAAGTGTATGTGAGCTGTGAGTGTGTATGTGTTGTATCTGAGTGTGTGTGAGGTGTGTTCCATTCACTTAACCGCAGTTTTAGCCGGTAACCTGCGGATCTGGACCGTCTCTTCGAGCGACGGCCAACCACACCGGTTTCGAGAGCCACTTCTCAGTCACACGCCGCCACCAGCATCAGATCTCTCCCATCCTCGCTGGCCGCCGTCACAGTCTCGACCGGTGACCAGCGGATCTGAAGCGTCTCCTCGAGCAACGGCCAACCCCGCCGGAGTCAAGACCAGACTCATCTTCACGCGCCTCCACGCGCCGCCTGTCTTCAGCCAGTCTCGAGTGCGTGTTTGTCACGCGCCACCTTGTCGGCCACCGTCACAGTTCCGACCGGTGTCCAATGGATCTGGAGCGTCTCTTCAAGCGCGACCTAACCCTGGCGGTCGCCGTCTCTGTCTCATCCGCATGCGCCGTCACGCGCCTCCTCTCTCCAGTAGATCTCGGACGCGTGTTCATCACGCGCCGCCTTCTCGGCGTCAGTATCAAACTGCGCCACTGCCGGTCGTCTCGTCGGACCTCCCTCTCTCTGTTCAGACCCTCCAGAGCAGCCATTGTTGCCATCTTCGTCTGTCTTCGTCTCCGCCATTGATTGTCCAGGCACCGTTTGCCGTTGTTCGGCACTGTTTGCCGCTGTCCCAGCGCCGTTTGCCGCTGTCCAGGCACCGTTTGCCGCTGTCCAGGCACTGTTTGTCGCTGTTTGACATCGTTTGTCGTTGTCTGGTGCCATTTGTCGTTGTCCATCTAGCACTGTTTTGCCACTGTGAAGAGTTGTACAAGTTTGTCACCATCAACTTCTGTTCCCGACGTTGTTCGTCATTGTCTGCCGCTATCCGCTGCCGACCACCGTTCGCTGCCAACCTCCGTCTATTGTCCTCCATTGCCATCTACTGCCACGGTTTAGTCTGACAACTAGTGATCTGGATCGCCTCCTTGAGCGAGAGGGCTAGTTCTCATCCTGGCGCCGCCATGTGCGCCACATTTGTACGACGTTCGTCTCCGCCATTGTCACATTTTCTCTGGCAAAGTTAGGGGTTTTGTGCGTCTCAAGGAGTGCGACCCATCCCTAGTTGTTGCCTCATTCTCATCTTGTCACGCACGACTTCTCTCCGATAAGCTTCCGGCGCTTGTTTGTCACACGCCACCTTTCCGGTGTCGGAATCACACGGTGTCACTATCGTTTGATGAATAAAAGAGACCATTAAGATCTTCCACCTTCAAGATTTGTCATCGGCGGTGTCATCACTTCTGTTGTTTGTCGTGAGGGGGAGTATGCTTCCAACCACTGTAGGCCCCCATCTCCTCGTCAGTTAGTGATGGCAGTCCCTGTAGTTTTGTCGCTTACAGCCACTACAGGCCCCATCAGTCAGTGATGGCAATTTAGTCCTTGCAGGCTCCATCAGTCATCATTTTCGTCGTTTGTCGTGAGGGGGAGTATGCTTCCAACCACTGTAGGCCCCCATCACCTCGACAGTTAGTGATGGCAGTCCCTGTAGTTTTGTCGCTTCCAGCCACTACAGGCCCCATCAGTCAGTGATGGTAATTTAGTCCTTGCAGGCTCCATCAGTCAGTGATGGCAATTTAGTCCCTGCAGGCCCCATCAGTCAGTAATGACAATTTAGTCCCTGCAATGAGGGGGAGTATCNTTGCCTCATTCTCATCTTGTCACGCACGACTTCTCTCCGATAAGCTTCCGGCGCTTGTTTGTCACACGCCACCTTTCCGGTGTCGGAATCACACGGTGTCACTATCGTTTGATGAATAAAAGAGACCATTAAGATCTTCCACCTTCAAGATTTGTCATCGGCGGTGTCATCACTTCTGTTGTTTGTCGTGAGGGGGAGTATGCTTCCAACCACTGTAGGCCCCCATCACCTCGTCAGTTAGTGATGGCAGTCCCTGTAGTTTTGTCGCTTACAGCCACTACAGGCCCCATCAGTCAGTGATGGCAATTTAGTCCTTGCAGGCTCCATCAGTCATCATTTTCGTCGTTTGTCGTGAGGGGGAGTATGCTTCCAACCACTGTAGGCCCCCATCACCTCGACAGTTAGTGATGGCAGTCCCTGTAGTTTTGTCGCTTCCAGCCACTACAGGCCCCATCAATCAGTGAAGGAAATTTAGTCCATGCAGGCACCATCAGTCAGTGATGGCAATTTAGTCCCTGCAGGCCCCATCAGTCAGTAATGACAATTTAGTCCCTGCAATGAGGGGGAGTATCATTCCAAGACAACACTGCAAAGGAAATGTCAATCCACCATGGGTGTAGTCCCTGCAGTTTTGTAGCCTTTACTACTGTTGATCCCATCACCCATCCATCATTGATGGGGATTCAGTGTAGTCCCTGCAGTTTTATAGCTTTCAACCATTGCAGATCCCGTCACTCATCCATCATTGATGGGGATTCAATCCTTGCAGTTTGTCATTG